TGTAGGGAAGACGATGACTTTTTTTGTCAGAAACCTCAGAGACTGAAGCAAATTTTCTTGGAACAGCCTTTTTGAACACCGCTCTTGCTTGTAATGAATGCTTTAGCTGATAGTATTGAATAGCATGTGTGGGCAGGAGCTGGGTTGTAGTTGTTGGTGTGCATGTGTATTGGCTGCATGACAAATTGAAAAATGCAAGCCATAATAATAAGGTTCTTAACGTCTTCAGGAGACAAAACTGCTGTTCTGTCACTCTGACTAATTTGCCTTTTTTTGTTTCTTGTCAGACAGACACAATTTCACTGGAAATCAGGACGCTGTACCCTTCTGTACCTGAAGATGCAGAACAAAAAGCAGAAAATTTATTTGTTAAAGAGGTAAATATCTAGTGTGTGTATCCTTTAATTTTAAATAAAACAAAGGGTTTGGGGCCGGCTTGCTATGATTATAATTAACATCTTTTTTCTTTAATATTGTTTAGGTGATTTGAATCACGTTTGAATTTTGGAGGCCAGAAGGAGGGGGAGGGTTAACAGCATATCTGCAGGTGCCTATTCTGAGATGTTTGTGTCTAGAAAATTGTGAATGCACTGAATCAGCCTCTTACTCTGTTGTTTTCCAGCTGCTTTCCCTGTCACTACTAGACACACCCAGACTACTAGTCCACTGATCCTGTTGTTGGTATTTTTACATGAGTGCCAATCATGGGTCATCCGTGCACTTTGCACTTGAAAATATTGATATCTTTCCAAAAAAGATAACTGTTTGACACTGGTTTACACTGTTAGAGTTAGAAGATACAAGGCATGTATCTTATTTGGAGGTGTATATTATAGCTATCTGAGGAGTAGTTGCACTGTGAAGGATGTGTAGGGGTTTATATTTATTGTCCACGTTTAGAGTCTATTCTATCTTCACAGCAGAAAGTCAAGCAAAGTTCTTCCATGGCTATTAGACCCCCACCAGCAGTGATTAATTGCTCTGCCTTTAAAAAAACTACAGTTTTATTGTTTCCAGACATGATCTCAGATTGTAGACGATTGCTCTTCCTGCTACTTCAGGGATGTTTCAGGTTGTCACTGGTTTTATCACTTTGAAGGATGTTGGAGGTGCTGGCTGCACTGTTCAAAGGAAGTTACCTTAGATGGCTCGCTGAACCTTCCCCATCTTTCACTAGAGATGTAAAGTATAGCTCATCATTTGCATTAACAAAACAGATTTATGAAACCAATTTTTCAGCCAGCTTCTATAAGATATTTAATTCCAAACACTTATAATTAGCCCATAATGTGTGTGTTCTCTGCCTTTTTTTTCACAGATTGGGATTTTTCACACCTGGCTTCCTGATCTGAATGAGTATGGGCTCATATGCACTATAACTGCAAGATAATTTGTGGAGGAAAAATCAGTTGCAGATAAACACAGGGATTAGAAAAAAATCCAAGATTAGGCAGAAATGTAGCTGTTGAATTGTATGCAACATGATATTTTACAGGCTGGCCCTATTTCTGTCCAACAGGTCTAGAAAGAGCAATAACAACTTACTGCCAGGTCAAATTGCCTGAACTTTGCCATCTTTCTTAATCTGGCAGTAGGGTTAAAAGATAATATAGCTTGTGGAATTATCTACCTTCCCAGAAGCCTCGCTGCCCTTTCAGCACTTTGGGTTCTGCTTTTTATTTTAAGGTTCCACAAGCTGCAAGGCTAGCACTGTGCTCATGGCTTTACAGAGAAAGTGGTGGGTCTAAAAATGGAACATAGTACTCAGTGTCTGGGAATCATTACAGCTGAGTACTCCAAGGGGATGCTAATGACAACCTGGTAAAATACATATTGAGCACATCCACTAACTTTCTCTGCAATACCAGTGAGCCAAAGGGAGGGGGAGAGAGGAGCAAAGCAGTGGAAAAAAACAGTACTACAGAAATAAGCCTGTACATGGAATAGTAGCAGGATAAGACCCTCTTTTAAAGTGGTAATGCATATGTTCCACTTTGCCACAAAGCCAAAAGCTATATATAAAATAAATTAAGCTCCAGGGAGAGGATGGTTTCTAGTCCAAAATTAAGTAAAACTGAGCATGGGGTGCTGTGCAGATCTGTGATTGTATTCCACTGCACCAGTTGCACAAATCTGTACTGATGCAGCAGCAATCTGCAGTGTTCCAGGCTGATGTTCAGCACTTCTGTACAGATGTGCAGGAGTGGAGTTTGTGACCTTCACTTCTTTTTCGGAGCTGTGAAAAAGGCAACACTTTACTCAGTGAAGGAGTCTTTCTTCAAATGTACTATGATATCACAAACAGTGAAGGCATCCATCTTATACATACTTGACTACCTGTTGGTCAGCTGGACTTGTTGCAACCCAGGATCAAATGTCTAATTCCTGATCGGACTGTACAAAGGCAGTGTACAGCTTCATCTTGCTGAACCCGTTTTGGTGTTCCCCATAAGTGGTAATGGCTCTCTCTGACCATTAGCGTATATCACACTATCTCTGTAGTTCAGCAGCTTGTGACATGAAGACATGGAGCAAGTCTGTTAACTACAAAGGAAGTTTCTGCTGTTGAAGGTGAAACTAATTTTCTTCATGTGCTGCAGTGTGAGGACATAGTACTGAAACTATTTCAAGTACTTGGATCCATGATATCCTGTCTTATTCTTCTGGACATTTGGTGTTCAGATGGTCTTGTCTATAAGGTACTGCTAGGTCATTTAAAAGGGTCATCAGAAGTCTGCGATAGTGCCTTAAAACCCTGTCTGTCTCTTCCTGGGTGTTTGTTTCCTACTGGTGACAGTAGGAAGGCTTTACTTTCACCTCTAGCTTTTTTATTGCTAGAGTCCTTCAAGGATCAGGTTTTTTTCCCCCAGGCCTTACCAAAATCCATACACATGGCAGCTTGGGGATTTGATCAGATTCCCTTTGCTCAAGTGATCGTAAACAGTACTCAGAGGCACGCCAGGATGACTTGACTGCCTGTGCAATATCGGTTTATGGATGCAAAAGAGCTGACAAGCCAGATGAAGAAGGATGAGGCTGATGTTGCTGAGGAAAGCTTTCAGTATGGATAACATTTGACGCTGTCCACCTGTGGTGGAAGGTTTGTGCCTCTAGTTATCTAATTCAGTTCTCTTATACAGCTTTTAGATTCCTCAGTAACTACAGACTTTCAGCATTGGTGATGTTCAGATGTTATGGTAATGGATGAGGCAGAAGAATTTACTTTAACTAAGATGTCTAACCTTCTCCTTTCTGCTGAAACTGTAAAATGAAAATTTAAAAAAAAAAAAAAAAGTTGACTTGAATAAATAAATAGTCCTTTGATAACTAAATATTTTCTGTAGGATGCAAAGAGAATAAATATTTTACTTTTTATGATTCAGTAATATCTGAGTCCCTTTATTAATTTATACCTAATTATTAGGTATATTCTAAAGGTAATACTTTGTGAATCGATCATTCCTATACCTGTAGTCATCTTAGGATACTTTCCTTGTGGATTTTTCCACCTTAACTTTTCTTAGGCAGGAGGAGCTTGAGTAACTAAACTAGGTTCCAAGAAAAGAGAAGTTTCCAGAAACTTTTAAAGCCAGAATAAAATTGTCTTTGGCATTTATTTTTTCTAAGTATTCCTGACTTCCTTGAATTCTGTACTGTACCATGCTCTTTCCTCCTAAATTCTGAATTTTCTCACTCCTCGCAGAGTCTGCTGCATGTATTTATGCCAGTCAGCATTGTCCTTGTGGTCCATAATTTTGGCAAACAGAAACATTTACTCCACAAGAAACAAAATAAAACTCCTCCATTTAGTCAGTGAAAACATTCCTAATATCACCTTTCCCAACTCTGTATTCCTGAATATGCACATCAAATGGCAATCCTTGGGATTTTTCCCACATTTCATTCAGAAATATAAAGGGGTAATGCATTTTGCAATTCAAAGTTATATTTAGTTTGAGAAACTTAAGCTATCTAATTACAACATATTTAATCCCATATTGGTTTGCATCAAGTCAGTATTTTCAGGAAGTGTGCATGCATATACACACGCATGCGTACTATTTGCGCGTGTGTATCTATATGAAAGAAATTTTAGGTATATATGAAAAAAAAAATCCAGAAAGTAAATAAACATTAGCTGTCAACTGCCCTTTCTTAAATGAGTTTAAGCCAGATGATCCCTCCAGAAATGATAGGTGTTACTTGGATATGCTTTTCGGAAGCATGTTTGCAGAGGGGCTGGTCCTGTGGATGAGGAGGGGTATGCTGGGAGCTGTGCAGGGGCAGAAGGAGGATGGAGCAACTTGCTGCAGAAGCTTCCCCAGGTTATGCTGTGTAATTGTGGAAAATAAGCCTGGAGTGGCCTTTTAGAAACTGTCTCATCCCTCCCTCCCAGGCAGACCAGATACCTTCTGACCCATCCTTTTTGCTTCAGGAGTCTGATCCAGCGGCGGTGGCTGCTACAGGAAGGGCTCCTTTGGTGACTTGCTGGGCCTTGGATCAGCTGGCAAGGGCTATCGCTGGTGGTCTCATCCATATTCTAGCAAAGGTGGTGGGCTTCACGTTGCGTTCTTAAAATCCTATTGCTACCATTCGTTCTGCTGTGCACTTCTTACTGGTCACTGAGGTGGATTGCCTGCTATCATGCAGATGGGCTGATTTGGAGCTTGTTAGTATTATGGAAGGGCCAACTTGCAGAGGTTCAAGTCAAGCCTGTCTCCTTCAGAAATCTGCTGGCACTCTCGAGCTGTGTTTGAGCACGCTTGTAGCTTTAAAAGCCATTTTAGAGCCGATTGCTTCTTTCAAATCACGGACATCTAAGCAGTTGTCATCTTAGCAATCTGTTGGAAAAAGCCTGGGAACAGAGGCCAGTTGATGGCATGCATGACGAGATTATGTCCTGCCTGCGACATCTGGAATCTGCCAGCACGTTGAGTAAGGGAGTCTGAGGTAAACCCAGAACCGAGTATACTAACAGCACTCTGCAAATGCAGCATTACTTAAACCTGTTTAGTGACTCTACATTTGATGTCAAATTGTGGTGTTTTAACATATGGAAATGACTCTTAAAGATGAGGACAATGAAGAAACGAGCTTGCTGGGGAGAGCTGTTGAGACTGAGCTTTCCTACACCCCAGCGTTGGCTCCTTTTCACTTGTGGGCGTAATTGTAGTCCTTACACTTCATCCTTAGAGCAGTAGGGACCATGCTGGCTGAAAAGCACTACATCAAAATGAAGTAACAGTGTAAGAATATTGACATTTCAATTGATGGATGATGTAGTTCATTTTGTCTGCTGCAGTACAGTATTCATGTGGACGCCTCTTCCGTGTGTAGATTTACTAGATACAAAAGTTGGAGTTCTCAATTGTAGTAAGTTTTCAGAGCCCTCGCCATTCATCTGGGAGATTTTTTTATTTGATAGTTTGCGGGTGTGTCTACAGGATCTGTAAGTAATGATTAAACATGAGTTTTATTAATCATAATGTTAAAAGAGCTACAGCCTTCTGTATAATTATTGAAAGTGTTTGTGTGTCCATACAGTTGATTTCTGAGGCTTTTTTATTAACACACTAATCTGCATTGCTCTTTCATATTTCAAAGTCAAATTAAAATGGGAACTCCTGTTGATAAATGTCACAAAGAAAGTTTTACTATTGCTCATCACAGTGTAGATTTCCTCAACTTCAAAATCTAAGTGCTGTCAGTACTTTAAAGAACTGTAGTGTCAGAACAGTGGCATACATTATTAAAGGACAGTGGGTCTTTTGATAGCACAAGACATAAATACATTTTTAAAATGTTTAATACTTCAATAGCGTGTTTTAATGTTTTGTTTTGTTACACTGCTGTGTCACTGGTCTTTACTATATGTGTGAACTGCGTTAATTTGGAAACAGCTTCGAGAGCCCCAAAATGAAGGTGCAGGTTGCTAGCAGCTACACTAGCAGCTAGCCCCTGACACTGCCGTGCTTGTCGCGGGCGTAAGGGAGCAGGGGTAGGCCTGGGGTGGCGGGCTGAATTTCAAGCCAGGGTGATCACGCCGTCTTCGACCTTGCCAAATCCCTACATGCTGCCTTTGGTTGTTGCAGCAGAGGTCACAAGAGGGAGGTGTGGTTGGGAAGGCTCTATGAGCAGTGCCACACATGTCCCCGGTCACGGGGCAGAGCACAGAGCCATCTCTGCAGCTTCCCCTTTAGCACTCTGCTCACATCCAGCTCTGGAAGGTCTTTGCTCTCTGTTTCCAAGCTCATGCATGGGCTTGCCCTTCCCTGTTCAACATCTCCTGCTTTCCACGTCAGACATAGCCACTCTTCAAAGGTGAGTGACGTGGCAGGGTTGCTCTGTGCATGCAAGAAGCCTGGTTGTTCCATGAATTACTTTTATCATATGTGCATCTGTATTTCCAAAGACCACATACCTAGCGCTATCTTAGAGAGAATGTAAACAGGGGAGTTCCTTTCAAATGTTTCAGGGTGTTTTGTGTTTCTCTCACTTCCCGTTCTCTTTTCTTTTCTTTTTTTTTTTTTTTTCTTCAAAAGGTTCATTTGCATTGCAGGGTAAATCTTTTTTAAGCGCCTCTTTCACTGTGGTGGCCATTGTGCTGTCATTGCTAGAACCAGTGCTAAGAAGTTACAGGTGGAAAAAACTTGCAGGGTTGTCTGTCTCTCTAAGGAAAAATTAGGCCAGCTGGGCAACAAGAAAAAAGAAAAGAAATGCCCTGAATTTGATAGGGCCCTTGGGAATGGGCTGTGCAGCCTGCCTGGTCAACAATGCAGTAGGAAAGTTCATGCAAACGTGCCAAACCTCCCACATCCCAAAGCTTCCATTTGTCTGTCTATATTTTTCCTCCCCCACAGTCCACTTGAGCTCAACAGCCCCTGCACTGGTGCTTCCACTCTTTGCCAGGGACAGTAGGATCCAGCTCTGGCCTCTTGATGAAACCGCTGCCTCTAGAAAGGTTTTTCTTACTCCTCAAATCAGGTTTGCAGGTGTATTTCCTCATTGCTAAAATTCAATTTCCAATAATAATTTCCAATTAAAAAAAAAAAATCTTTAATAGTCAGTACAGTCAGCAGAAGTATTTGATTTTTAGTTGGGATATTCTGAAGAGAAAATGCTGTAATTTTTTTTTAAACTAGATCTAGTTTACAACGGATAACCCCAACAAGCAAGTTCAAGAACAGCATTAGCTGTTGCACTGAATTGGCTTGCCTTTTGTGAATTTACTGAATGATACTTGAATGTGCTGCTTGTCCCCTTTGATTTTTATTTTGATTAGCTTTTTCTTGGAGGAGCACAATAAACCTTTATAGTTATAAGCTAAAATACTGTGGCCCGCTCTATATGTTATTCACAACTGGTTTTTTGAACACATCAGCCTATAATGTTTGCAATAAAAGCCTGCGTTGAGAATTCTCTGTGGGCTTTAATTGCATCTGCTAAGTAGAATATTTTGTAATGAAAGTACCACAGGGGAAAAAGTGGTCCTTTCTGTAGAAGGTTCAGTTGGTTTGCGTTTGCCAAGTAGAGAGTGAAGTGTGAATTGGAGGGTCTGTGTTCATCCCCAGACATTCAATGAATGAGCTTTTCATTGGCTTATGTAGAACAGTATATATTGCTCTTGTAAGAGTATTCTTATAGCCCAGGTGACTATCAAATAGTTTTAACTAAAACTTAGATCACATGAATACAAATGTGACCGAGTCATTTCATGAAGATTCACAAAACAGAAAGGTTGGTTTTGGTTGTTTGGTTTTTTTCCTCTATTCAAAGGCAAAGTGCAAATGTTGGAGTGGTGTAGGAACATGGTTGTCAGAGGTAGGCTTTGGACCTGACCCTGCAAGTCGCAGAGTTAGTCAGCTGTAATGCTATAGTATTATGTTCATTCTCAGCAAATACATGATTATTTTATATTGTCTAATGGTCACACTGTATTCTGCATCCTGTAGGATAACGAGGGTTTATGTCAGACCGGAGAGTAGATGCTAGATCCACATGGAGTATGTTTGCCGCAGAGTGCCTTTGGTTGTGCTGAACTGCTCAGTTCAGCGTCAGAGTGGGAGAGAACTGCCTATAAATGTGCATCCGCTTCCTTGCCGCCTTTTCCATACTCTAAAACTAATAAAGCTGTCACGGAAGACTGTGACCACATCCAAGATGACTTCCTAAATTAACTTGTGGTTACATACTCTGCATGTTTTACAGAAGATTTAAAAAGGAGATTTGTTAAGCCAGTGCCGAGTAATTCAGAAAGCACCACCTTTAAGTTTTCAGCCCATCTCGGTTTTTGCTCCAGCAGCCTGGTAATCCCCTCCCTGTCCCTCTGAGGTAGAGACCACTGTGCAAGCAATGACTGCCATGGGAGCTTCAGAAGAGGCTGGCAGGGAGGAGAGGGAATACTCCGGGTAGGAGGAGTACTCATTTATCCTGTCCCTTTATTGCCTTTTCTTCCACTTTCTCTGCATAGCTTTTGGTATTTAAATATCTTTGATCCATCCTTTATTCCATTCTCTTTGTCTTGTGGAGTCTCATCCTTCCCATGCCTTTCCGTGAGACTTTTTCCTGTTCCCACCTCTGATTCTTTACAATGCTGCTGCTTCTTTCTCTACTGTAGATCTCCACCATTTTCCTTCGTGACGTGCCTCCCGTTCCCTATGGTCTTGGGCAGCAGCTTCTGCTGTTAGGTTTTAGGCTTGATCCCTCCCTTTCTTCGTGTCCATCTCACATGGGCTGGTGCAAATGTTCAGGTGGAGTGTGGGGAGAAAATAATAGAATACCATACAAGTATCAATTTGTATTTTACATTCTGTAGCAAGAATCACTGGAAATCCTGAAATTGTGTCATTTTTCTTGTAGGTGTGTACCTTATCAATAACTGTACATATTGCATGCATCTTGTTGCCTTTAAAAATGTCATGTTGTGTTTAATTGCATTGATAAAAGTTCTGCATTGAATGAATCACAGTTATTCTGGTCTATTTGACAGCATAGCAAAGTCCTTCGGTGTAGTCTTTGTTCAGGTCTGGTTCCCTTATTTAAGGGAGATTGATATATTAAGAACAATTTCAAAAGATGAATGCAAAACCAGCAAGAAATTTTTTAGAAAATAAAGACTACAAGGAGATGATGAGATGACTGAGCAAATTCAATGTGGAAGGGAAGATTAGACTCTGGTGAGAAATGATAGTCCTATTAATATATTCCTGAATGTTGTTAAAAGGTTAATGATCAATTCTTAAGGGCAGAACAAGAAGTAGAGGGCTTGTGCTGCAACAAGGTGGATAAAAAGAGTAGGGCAAAAGTATTTACAATGGAAGGCTTAGGTAATGAAACAGGATGCAAACAAAAAATGTATAGTTAATGTCCCTGGAGAAAGTCAGGCCTAAACTAGGTAATGTCTTTTGAGGCAGTAGCGATAGAATCTAATGATGCTTCATACAGAGTAGATGAGAATCAGTAAAGCATGTTAAATTTCTATCAGCCCCCGCCTTCATCTTGTATGATTCAGTACATTTGATTTAAAAGGGAAATTGTGCTTCAAAATGTGGAAGCATATGACTCTGACTTTCCTTTAAGAACTGTGCACCCAGTTATAAAAGAGAAGAATATGTTCTCTAGCACAAAGGACTCCCTCGGATCTTTCTTAGTTCTCTAACCTTCTTGAGTCTAAATAGCTGTAGTAATTCTATTGTTGTTGTTTGTGTTTTTCCTCTTTAGGCTTGTAAATACTACAGTTCCCAGTGGCATGTTGTGAACTACAAATATGAACAGTATTCAGAAGACTTTCGACACTTACCACAGTAAGATCTAGCATAAGTTCTTCTTTTTTTATTTTTTCCTATTAGGTTTGTGTCATCTTACTGAGCTTTGTCCGTATTTGTACCTTCCTTTGTCTTATATGCTCTGCTTGTTTTAGCATATTTAGACTGCCTTGCATTTTTAAAAAGGGGAAGAAAAAGTCCTTTAGCAAAAGTTCAAGACTCTGCAGAATTCACTAGTATCAACAAACTCTATTAGTGCTGATTCAAGTCCTTAGAAGCGTATTTGTGTATTCAAATCACAGTTGATACAGGAAAGCTGGCTTTCCGTTTTCCTTAATAATGCATAAATGTCACTCACCTTTAACTGGGATTAATTCTCCTTTTAGTTACCCTGTGTAACAGAGGAGTAGGATTTCACTTAGTGCTTTATAGCTGTACCATACAGAAGAACTGGGTGCACACCATGCGCTGGTGCAGCACTGGCGATACAAGGCTGCAGAAATGTGCAGGTGTCTGGGTAAGCGGGCATCCCTTCTGTGCTTGGAAGCAGTACATTAAAATCAGTGTAAAGGTGCTGGGAGGAGAAGGAACAAGTTCCTTGACTTGAGTGGAAAGAAATTAAGAATTTGCTGCTCATTCCTTCATGTGTGAGTTTCTATCCATACTCCTGTTTCTGGCAGGTTTGTATCCTGTGCCCTGAGGACTGTTTTAGGAAGTAGCTAATGAAATCATTGAATGCCCAAACAAGCTCTGTTACTGCCTCCTTTCCTGGAATTCAATGCATTAAAATCATGATACTGAATGAAAAAGGTTGTTACATGCACATAACATAGGAATGGGTGCTCCAGGTTTGGGTTGGATGGAAACGAGTACTAGCTAATCATATTGTTTCAGGAATCTATAAACTGATTCTTACGGTCCCTTTAGATGCTGTGTTCAGAGGGTTTTGTGCTGCAAGCTTTGCCTCAGATCTGCATTCTCTCTTGTATGTTGGTATTTTTATGAACAGTGAATGTGGTAGTACAAAAAGCCATTAAGAGCAGTTTTGCTAATCAGAGATTATAAACATACCTTTTTGTAAGTACCCGGTGTACTGATTGTTTTAGAAAACTAATGCATTTAGTGCTCAAGAAAAATGGTTTCCTAATAGCAGTTTTCCATTTAACCTTAAGCATCTTCACTCTTACGAAATATGCAGTTGACAGACATGGTTGCATTACTCTGCAATTTAGCAGCTACATTTTAGCTGATTACATACATCCTCTTCTGTGAAGGTTATTTTACTATGGTGCTTAATATGATTTGCTTTCATGAGTTCATGCTCCAGGGATGTTATGGTGTCTTACATCTTTTTTCCCCCCTTGCACAGAGGATTATAACAAAACAGTAGATCTTGTTTTGTCTTGTATCAGAACATAGCAGTCGGGAATGGTTTGGGTGCAGCACTGGTTGATGTTTCAGAAGCAAAATTATAGCAGGAGTGTCTGTATTTTGTTTGCTGAAAGTTGCCATGGCTTTTGAGCTTAACATACCTTAAACAGAGCTGGTTTGGAGTCCATCTCATTTCCTACCTTTTCCAGCCTCTTCAGCATCAATGGACCTTGATTTGCACATGCATGTTACAAAGTTCAGTGTTTTAGACTAAATCACCTCATTAAAAATAAAGTGGCTTGATATGTCCTTGCCGTAGTATTGTATCTCACTGTTGATAGTTCTGGATGCCCAGTTTCCACAGTTTTTTGTTTCATTTGTGCAAAACTGCTGTCACACCATCAGGAATCTAAGCATGTTGTTGTATCAGCTCCTTCATAGGAAGTAGTTGTGTCAGGGAAGATTGGATGAGTGTTAAGCATTTAACTTTGCATCATGAGAAAGGAACATCATTTACAATACCAGATCTAACTGTGGCTGAAGTATTTCCATTCACTGAGAGTGTGCTGAACCTTCCCATAGGGCTTCCCATTTATAAACACACAAATTGGGACTCAGTGGCCTTCAGCTACACTGAAGGACTGCATACTTTTTTGTACGTGAGGCCATGCTGTGCTGTTTCACACAGTCATACAATGTCAAGTAATGGGTGCATGGTGTAGCAGATTTTTATCAGATATCAAAGTTACCTTTTCTGATTGGGAAGCAGCTGCAAGGTGATGCTGACCACCTGGGGCAGGCAGTGAGGACTCAATGTGTCCATGGTGCAATTCCACTGAAGTAGTGCTGTGGCACTGGGGAAGAGCTCAATGACGTGCACAACAACTTAAGCAAAACGTTTAGCAATTGCTTTAGTTTTTCTCTGACTGTGTTCCTCCTTTGAGGTTTTTCTCAGGTCTTTCTCCCCCTTAAATTCCTCTCTGTGAGATCTCACTACCTCTTTTTGCACCATTTTTTATGCTTCGTGCTGGTGCGTTCTTGCTTCTTGAGCAAGTGGAAGAGTGGAGGAAGAACAGGGGTTGCTTAGTGTGTACTGTGGTGACAGTATGTCTGGGAATAGAAATAGTCGTTAGCAAATTTTTTGCTGTCATTTATAGAAAACGTGGAACATTTGGTAGGTATTTCTTGCCTGGTCCCTTGGAATTCTGCCTCTTCATATGGGTCTGAAGAGGCAGTAGATAGAGGAAAAAGAGTATACCAAACAGGATCACGTACTTAACCACGCTTTATCTGCCTGCCCTGGAATGATGAGGAGCATGCCCAAAAAGATTCCCATCCAAGGAAGGGAAAAACTTCTTCTGTGGAGAATGACACACAGGTCTGAGTTGGATGAGTGTTCCATGGGTGGTCAGTGAGATCTGACACCTGAAGCAGTAGTGGTCTGTCCTTTTCTATCTCTTTTATAGCTCTGCTGAGAGGACAGAAGGATTTTCTTCTGAGAAACTTGCCATGTGCCCAGGCTTGTGGAAGGGCTGTGGTTTAGTGGGACAGGCTCACTCTCTGACCATGGAGCAGCAGAGCGGGACAGAGTTGCTGTGTCCGTATGGTGAGGGGCTGGCACCTCGCTAATGCAGCAGATTTCCAACTCCTCCTTCCCCTCCCCAGTAGCATCAAGGGCATTAGGGTTGGGGTTTTCTTTTGGTCTTTTTTTTCAGTAGCCGACTAACTTGTCCTGTTACTGGTACAGATCCTCAAGCAGATGTGTGCAGTAGTGTTATCTGTCCATGTGTGGCCAGAGAGCATCAGTCTCCCTACACATCACCCCGAGAGCACTGTGGTGCACTTTCAGCTCAGAATAATGAATAAGCCAATAGGGGTTTTGTCTCAAAATGTGAAGGCTTGAATGGTGTTTTTTGTAAAAGGTGGGATTTGGCTTGAGATTTTTGTTTTGGGGTTCTTACGGGTGGGAGGGAGTATTTGTGTAAGAATTTTTAACAGCTGCCCTTGGTTGCATTGGAAAACCTGCAGTGGATTTCCATCACTCATATTCTGATATTAACGCTTTTACAGATGTCAAAGACGTCAATAGATTGCAAATGTTCCTTTTAGTCAAAGTATTGATCAGTTGTTTACCGGAACAAACAAAAACAGGGAATAAAACACTCCTGTGTTCTGTGTGCACTTGGTTCTCCTGGCTCTGCTGAAATGCTGGCTTTGGTTGCGGTGGGGTAGTCACGTCATGACAACACTGACTTTCAAATGGGGAAAGTGAGGAGGAGATAGGTATTGCTCATTAATCTTCCTAATCTGTAACTTGTGTATGAATGAATAGAAAATGAAAAGGGTCAAAGTTACCACTTTTTTTTTTTTTTTTTTTTTTTTTAAAAATTAGTGGCATTTAACATCATGCACTAGTGTGGGCTAAAGTTCGCTAAGTTGAGAGAGGAAGGTGGCTTAGGAGTCTGTGGTTTCTCAACTTCTGTTTGGATTTGCTTCCTTACCTGATAGAGAATAGTGTTGCTCTGTTCCCGTTCTCAGGTTGAGTAGATGAAAGTAAGTTCTGGAAAAGCTGGTCTTCCTGATAAATGATGGCTTTTAGCATGACAACTGTTGTAGGTTTTCATATGATAACTGAAGATTTCCAAGATGAGACGTGCAATCTTCAGGAATTTGAAAACAATGTTGGTATTTTTCAGGTCACAGAAAAATCTGTTTCTTTTCCATTTAAAAATATCTTTGAATTTTTATCATGTGTATCTGGCTGTTACTTAAGGTTTAATTCTGCAACATGTGAAGTACTCTGGGCCTAAGTACAATTACTTAGGTGCTTAAAATTAAGCAAGTGCTTAAGTGCTTTCCTTTTTCATACTCAGTTTTGGTTTTAAGTCCACAATATGAAGATCTTAAATGGCACCACATCAAAAAGACATCTGTGTGTTCTTAAAAATTACTTTAAGGCTGTGTTCATCATATTGAATAGTAAAAAATATCTTGAAATATTGAAGAAATGTAGAAGCTTTAAGCTGAATATTCTAATGTTGTTCTTGGTTAGAAAAAGCTATTAGAGTTCATGCTCATTTGACAGCCTTAAATGGTATATTTCTTTGGAAATTGTTTGGGGTTTGTTGCCTGTTATGGAAGAGCAATGAAGGGAACAAGAAGTGGTATTTCATCATTTGTATAAAACTGTTGCAACTTTATAGTGTTCAAAAAAAAAGATACATGCCTTAAGAAAAAAGCTTTATTTTGAAACTGTAGTGATTTTTAAAGGAGGTAATAGGATCCCAGCAATAGGTGTACTGAAGATGCTGTGGGGATTCGGAATGGTTGCCTCCCTGAAATAGCAGGTACACGATTATTTAAAAAAGAAAAAAAATTAAAGACATTTTTCCTCCCCTCCCAGAAATGAATGTAGACCAGAGAAACTGCCGTCACATTCCTTTGAAATCGATCATGAAGATGTGGATAAGGATGAAGTATGTATTTTGGGTTTTGGTGGTTTTTTTTTTTCCCTGGGGAAGAGTTATTTATTGCTTTAATATCAAATAAAGAATGATCATGGAGGCTTGTTATCTCCTATAAAATATTTCATATTTTAAATAACTGAAGTTAGTGGAACAGTTTTGTCTCTTATGTCATCATGTGTACAGCAGGCATATTAATAACATCTTATTTTAAAAGGAATGAAAGGATGATTATTTGTTGTCAAGCAGATATTCACACATTACAGTTTTCTTTCGTCCTAGAATTCAAAAAGCAAGTCCGTGCAATATTAATCGTGTCTTTCATACAGGATACAACATCCCACTCATCTTCAAAAGGTGGTGGTGGTGGAGGAGGAGGAGGATTGGCAGCAGGAGTTTACAAGTCTGGATGGCTTTATAAAGGGAATTTCAACAGCACTGTAAACAATAGCATTACTGTTCGGGTAAGGGGACAGCATTATTTTTCCTTCATTCCATTTGGATTTATATCCTCCACGGAGGCATACTTGTTTGCCATTGTCATTTAGCTGTTTATATCTCAGGTTTGATTACATCGTTTTAAATGATACTAAGGTAATATTGGAGTTGTCCACAAAATAAAGTGATTGATGTGCAGTAGGAGTTGCCTATTATTTAAACCCTGTGAATAAAGTATCAGTGAAAATAATTTGCAGTACAACAATTGTCATTCTTTCTTTTTCCCCCCCTACTTCAGTCATTCAAAAAGCGCTACTTCCAGCTGACACAGTTGTCGGATAACTCATATATTATGAATTTTTATAAAGATGAAAAAATATCAAAGGAGCCAAAGGGATGTATTTTCTTAGATTCTTGTACAGGAGTTGTACAGGTAAGTTTCAATTTATTTCATTATATTGTTTGAGTGTCAGATAAATTTTAAAAGGCAAGCAGAAGAACACATACATGAATGGAATAGTGGTCTCATTAGCAGTTTCATGAAATGAAAACACTGTTAGCTTTGCTCTTTAAATTGGTGCAAGTGCTCAGACTGACAGGTTACAAAAAACACAATTGAATTATGGTAATAGATCATGCAATTGCTCTTTGCCCACAGCACACATGAGAAAAAAATATTGTAAGAAGTTTCTTTTCACTGAAATTATTTTCTTAGCTGCCAGATTTTACCACATGCTTTTACTAAGACCATTCTTGCTTGTTGTGGGTTAAAGAGACCCAGGTTACAAAGCATCGGCTGTTGGGCAAGTGGTAAATTAATCTTGTATCCTGAGCCTCCTTGAAGATGACCACTTTTGGAGGCGATAGAGAGTCTTAATGGCAGCAGGTAGGACAGAGCTTTATTGTTTATTGTGGCACCACTTTTTTTTTTTTTTTTCCCCCTCTGGTTCCCCCTAAGA